TTTTACCTGCGCGCACCGACAGAGGCTCCGTGGGTCCAGGAAGGAGAAGATGTGCAAGGAGAGGACTCGGGGCAGCGTGGTGCTGAAGTCCACGGCCTCGACGGGGACGCGCAGCTGCCCGGCGCAGAACTTCTGCTGCGACGGCGAGCAGCGTTCCAGCAGGTCCAGCAGGATCCTCCTCCTCTGCCCGTCCGTCCACTTGTCAAACTCAACAAAATAAAAATAAAAATAAACTTAAAATAAATAAATAAAGGAGTTCCCGGCGCGAGAAAACAGAGATTCGGCTTTCGAAAAGGGAAAGCACGGGAGAAATTTCTGGTGAGTCGATGCGGAGGAATGGATGGAGAGGATGAGAAAAATAATTCTGAAACTACAAATGGTTCCCAACCCTGAAATGATCCAGGAGAACCCATCCAGGAGTGACTCCGGCTCCCGGGACCCGCTCCGAGATTCGGCTCACGGAAAAGTGTCAGAACTCAGAACGTCCCTCAGACGTTTTTGGATGTTCCGGGCCCAGGTCAGAAGCATTTGAGACCCTGGCACAGCTGCAAACAGCTGTGAGTTTGGGTTTGAGCCATGGAACGAGTTACCAACCTTGCAGGGAGAACAAGAAGTCACCAAAGTTTGGATGTTACAGTAGAAGTGGTCACAAAGTAGAGGGAAGAATTTCTGAGTGCTGTACAGGGGGTTTGGTTTTGTACATGGGGGTCAGAGGTTTAAGATGGATTTGGGATTTGGGCCTGTCCTGTCCTCCCTCTTTCTCCTTCCTCACCTCCATGTTCTGGTGATGTTGGCACTCACAGACTGGTTTGGAGGAGAAAGGCACCATTTGATATAGGGAATAGGCATTGGGGAAAAATTATAAACATTTAATATGTAATGTGCCATATAAAATATAGAAAGGCACCATTTAATAAAGGTAATAGACATTGGGGAAAAACTGTAAAAGAAGAAGAAGAAGAAGAAGAAGAAGAAGAAGAGGAAGTGGAAGAAGAAGAAGAAGAAGAAGAAGAAGAAGAAGAAGAAGAAGAAGAAGAAGAAGAAGAAGAAGAAATCAATCGAATCAGCCCCAAAATCCCTCAAATCTGCCCCAAGATCCCTCAAATTAACTCCAAAATTCCCTCAAATCTGCCCCAAAAATCCCTCAAATCTACCCCAAAATTCCCTCAAATCTGCTCCAAAATCCCTCAAATCAGCCCCAAAAATCCCTCAAATTGTCCCAAAATCCCTCAAATCAACCCCACAAATCCCTCAAATTGTCCCCAGAAATCCCTCAAATCTGCCCCAAAATTTCTCAAATCTGCCCCAAAATCCCTCAAATCTGCCCCAAAATCCCTCAAATCTGCCCCACAATTCCCACAAATCTCCCCAAAATTCCCTCAAATCTGCCCCAATATCCCTCAAATCTGCCCCAATATCCCTCAAATTAACTCCAAAAATCCCTCAAATCTTCCCCAAAAATCCCTCAAATCTGCCCCAAAATCCCTCAAATCTTCCCCAAAAATCCCTCAAATCTGCCCCAAAATCTCTCAAATCTGCCCCAAAAATCCCTCAAATCTGCCCCAAAATCCCTCAAATCTGCCCCAAAAATCCCTCAAATCTGCCCCAAAAATCCCTCAAATCTGCCCCAAAAATCCCTCAAATCTGCCCCAAAATCCCTCAAATTAACTCCAAAAATCCCTCAAATCTGCCCCAAAAATCCCTCAAATCTGCCCCAAAAATCCCTCAAATCTGCCCCAAAATCCCTCAAATCTGCCCCAAAAATCCCTCAAATTGTCCCAAAATCCCTCAAATCAACCCCACAAACCCCTCAAATCTGCCCCAAAAATCCCTCAAATCTGCCCCAAAAATCCCTCAAATCACCCCCAAAATCCCTCAAATCTGCCCCAAAAATCCCTCAAATTGTCCCAAAATCCCTCAAATCAACCCCACAAATCCCTCAAATCTGCCCCAAAATCCCTCAAATCTGCCCCAAAAATCCCTCAAATCTGCCCCAAAATCCCTCAAATCTGCCCCAAAATCCCTCAAATCTGCCCCAAAATCCCTCAAATTAACTCCAAAAATCCCTCAAATCTGCCCCAAAATCCCTCAAATCTGCCCCAAAATCCCTCAAATTGTCCCAAATTCCCTCAAATCAACCCCACAAATCCCTCAAATCTGCCCCAAAAATCCCTCAAATTAACTCCAAAAATCCCTCAAATTAACTCCAAAAATCCCTCAAATCTGCCCCAAAATCCCTCAAATCTCCCCAAATCCCTCAAATCTGCCCCATCCTCCTCTCCTCGGAGCAATCCCAATTTCTGCAGATAAATTTGTGAATATAAGGGCTGAAAATAAAATTATTTTTCTGTCACGCCCATCCTCCTCTCCTTGGAGCAATCCCAATTTCTGCAGATAAAATTCTGAATATAAGGGCTGAAAATAAAATTATTTTTTCTGTCACGCCCATCCTCCTCTCCTCGGAGCAATCCCAATTTTCGCTGATAAATTTGTGAATATAATATTTTGGGTTTTTTCCCCCAATATTAACGAGTTCCCCCATGGCCTGGGATGTGATTTCAGCGGTCCCACCGGTCGGACCGGATTCCCCGCAGTTTTTCCCCAAAAAAACCCAAAATCACCGCGGGGGAGAAAAGGATTTCAAATCATCTGGATTTAGGGTTAAAAAGGGAAATAAAGAAAAGAAATAATCTTAAATTTTGCCCCTTGCTGGAGCTGCGCCTGTGTAGCCGGCTCATGATAAATGATAGTAAATAAATAATAATGATGATAAATGATATAATTGATATATTGATAAATGATATAATTGTCAGATGTGATGATTGTTCAGTGATTAAATAGAATTGCTGTTTAATTGCAAGAATATTAATGAGAAACTGTGGCCAGGGGGGCCTAAGAAAGGTCACGAGGAACTCGTGTCCATGTAGACAACAGAACAATAGAAGTTGGATAATGAATGTGGAATAATGATAGAATATAAAATAATAGAATGATATAGAATATAATATATAGAATATAGGATAATATAGAATATAGAATAATGATAGAATATAAAATAATAGAATGATATAGAATATAATATATA